ATACAATCATGTAATGACATAAATGCATGAATGATAAATGCATTCAAATGTATTGTTATATATTTATAGTGCTCTGAGGTTCTGAATATTAATTCTTCATCACAATGTGACTTTGTGAAAACAACTCCTGATTGTCAAGTGTCGGATGGTTTTATCCAGTACCTGTACTTACCATATTGCTTGCTGCCTCACGGCGTAGCATTCTTTATTCTTGTAAGTATAATTAATTTATGCTTATATTTTTACTATTTTTATCGTATGACACTAGTGATGGTAACAAGCATAATTATATATATTAATATATAGAAATTTAAATAGAAATCGATTGCAATGATTTAATAATGATGAATAAAATATCAGTCATGTATGTATGATACAATGTCAACCACCTGTGACTCTAGAGGTCAAAACTCAGGGCCAATAGGTTGGGAATTGTTCATTTAAGTTTCACAAAAACAGTTGATTGAATTTTTCCTTAGTTCCTATGGCTTGGTTTTCTGTTTGTTGTTTTGGGAATTACAGCTGATGACTAGTAAGTGTTGAAAATTTTACAGAAAATCCATTTRATAAAATCAGTATATTTATTTTGGAATTTGAACTTTTCTAGTTATGGAAAATAGTTCATAACTTGCCTCTGGTTGCCGACTAGATGGCCTCAATGGTTGTTTCTGATTGATTGCATGGACTTCATTCTTGCAAATACTTTCATGGTAGATAAAGATTTATATGATGTAACGCTATTCACCCTTCAAACAGTTTTCATTTTAATAAAAATAACATTTGCATTTATTTCTTACAGCTTTTGTCCATCTCTTGTTATCATCTCAAGAACATTACGAATGAGTCAAAATGTTGCTGTATCCTTTTTTTAAAAAACAATTCTGCATACTAAGCATTTTGTTGGCTTAATAGTTTAAATAWATGGTATTATTTTACTGTCAGTCTATGATTATTACATCTTTAATTTGCAAAAAAAAGGGTGTCACATTCTTGGCTTATGGCAATGGAGCACCAGACATCTTTAGTACAATTGCCGCTTTTTCACATTCCCAAGGTGATAACTCTGCTGCAGAACTAGGGATAGAAGCTCTTCTAGGTATGCAAAATATTCCATCCTTAATTCTTTAGGGAAAAGAATGTGGGCAAAAATATCCAAAATTATTATGTAACATGCCAAAAGAAGACATTTTACTCATAGTAGGAATTTTCTTTTTTTAACTGGCAGGTGCTGGTATATTTGTTACGACAGTAGTGATGGGAGTTATATCTCTCATTTCAAGCAACTTTACTGTGTCTAAAAGACCTTTCATTAGAGACATCATATTTTACATGGGTGCTGTTGCATGGATGTCAATAGCACTGCACCAACGAGAGCTCACAATGTGGCAGTCAATAGGTGAGGTGTATCATTCTTCAATTAAAGTCTTGATTAATCCTCAGTAAGAGCTAAGGTGTGAAATAGTGTTGAATAACCCAGTTTTTATGACCTGCAATATTTTTTGATTTTTTGATTTTTCAGGTCTAATAATACTCTATGTGGCCTATGTTATTGTAGTTGTTGTTGGGCATTCTATATATCAGTACTGGAAGAAGAAAAATCGAAAAGGTAAGATGCAGGAGTATCTCAGTCATTATTGGTGAGACACGGAGAGCCAAAAGATGTAAGCAAATAATGATAAAGTTATTATTTGGGTGTGCATGTCRATTGTCTTTTGGGCTCTTCGGAGTATCAGGAATATTTGGAGTAAATGGTACAACCTTTACTGCATTTATTGATAATATGACTTTAGGGGATGCAGCAGTTGTTTGTCCTTAAAGTAAGGGAGAATAAGTTCCTTGAACTAGGAATTTATTAATGATAAAAAATACAATTCATGGGGCTGTGGTGTACCTACATCAAATTCATGTTTTTGTCATAGATAATGATGACAGACTTCACTTTTAAAGTCCCCAGTGCCAAAAATTGAAAAGTTAAGGAAAAAAAACAGAAAACTGAGAAAAAATGAGAGAAAGAGAGAAAAGCATCAATCCAGTATTAGTTAGAGTACAAACATTAAATGCGTTCAACACTTTCCACTATTTACTGCAAAATAGTGTTAATTAAACAATAGAATTAGCATAATTTAGCGCAGTATTTAGTGGTATATATGTTGCACAGTTTTAGTGTTTGTACTCTATTATAGAATCATAATGATATTATAGTAGTCAGTAAAATGATAGTGCACTCATAATATTGGATTGTCTTTCTCCCCCTTTGTATGAACAGGACGAGGGATGATGAATGACAATARCGGTGATGCTGAATCAATAAAGTCTTTGTTGGGCTCCCAGTCTGATTCAATACAACACTTACCAGAATCTCCTGGTTCTGGTCTGCTTCCAGGTAGACCTTATTAAGCACCCATTATTTTCACTTTAATATTCCTGCTTTAGCACAGCAGTGATGGGTAATTCTGATAACTCAACCGAGTGCAGTTTTTAATGGTCTCCTTCATGGTTATGTGCGCCATGTTGAAGGTAGCTGTGCCTTTACATCGAAGCAAGACGACCGTTGAGCGTGCAATGATAGAAACCTTTTTGCACGCTCAACGGTTGTCTCGCTTTGATGTAAAGGCACGGCTACCTTTCAACATGGCGCAGGTAACTGTGAAGGAGACTATTTCGTCAACTTTTGTYGACTTCATGGTCATGTAATTTTGATTCTAGCCAATGAGATTGCAACAATCAAAAGTCAAAATGAGCATGATTTCTTATAATGATAAAAGTATTAGATATTACTATGTTATATGTAATATTTTGCTTTAATCAGATGAGAAGTCACCACTTCTAAACGCTGGGATAACACCAGTAGTTTCATACAGAGTGATGTCACTGCGTGGAAGACCTCTAAAGACGCTTGTACATGATCTTTTACCATTCACAATGGCTGAATGGCAGCAAGCAGGATTGTTTGGAAAAGTTATAATGTTGATTAAGGTACAACATAGATACATTGAACTGAACCTCATATTTAATATTACTATAACTACTGTAATGATTCATTAATATTTATTGATGCATGATATTCTTCATCAGGCACCTGCTGCATTTGCACTCAACTTGACCATCCCTGTGGTAGACTATACTGAACCAGACAGGCGTTGGAACAAGTGGTTAWATGTCATTAATTGTGTAACTGGACCAGTGTTTGTTGTCATGGGACTTAAGGGTAATTGATTGTCTATATTTAAGAGATGCCGCCGGCCATCTAATGGATAAGGCAGTGCTGCTATCTGTCTTTGCTTGCTTCAAAACCTAGAGGTCTGTGATGCGATTATATTAAAAAATTGAGATCTTCGCTAGTGTTGGGTTGTCTCATTGTTCACTGACGTTTTGTAAATTTGATATACAACACTAGTATTGTATCAGATTTACGAGCTAGGTCATTCACCTGAACAAATAGACATCCTGTAATGGTTCATGAATTATTAAGCTAAATGCAGTTTTAAATGCCAATAAAGGTCCCCAGCTCATATTTTATATATTGCATAAAAATCGATTATTTTGTTATACATTTTAGTTGGAACTGTTCTTGTTGGTGGGCGTTTCCCATTATGGGCATTGGCGCTATGTATTGGTTCCATTATTGGACTGATTGTTGCTATAGTTACCAAAAATGAACACCCTCCAAAGTGTCAATGGGTGAGTTCAAAAACATCATGATAGTGTTTATTGAAAAATTTGAAAGTAGAACCTGTTAACCAAGAAAAAAGTAAAACCTGATGATTTATAATATGTTGCAGATGTTTGCATACTTGGCCTTTTTTGTGTCTGTTGTTTGGATCTTTATCACTGCAAATGAAATAGTTAACTTACTACAGGTATGTGCGCTCTTTGATTGACAGCTGTCATGCAACCTGTCAGACTGAAAGATATTGATTTTATATTATAACAGGTATTTGGGATAGCATTCAAGTTCAGTGATGCTATTCTTGGTTTAACATTGTTGGCTTGGGGAAATAGCATAGGAGGTATTCATCATGTATGAAATGTGTGTGTGTAGTGATTAAACCTCTTCAATTTCCTGCAAATAATTAACTAAAGCAGCATGCTTGTTATATTACTAGTTTTGCTTCACATATTAATAGTTTCCTTGGTATAGTTTCTGTAGTGAGCTTAATTAAAGCAAAGTAGCAAGACCAGCTGTACTTAGCATTTGATGCAGTAGTAGACATCATAGTCAGTGTTAAGTAGTAACCGATTGAGAACTTAATGCATTTATTTATTTTTCAGACCTTGTTACCAATTCATCAATGGCTAGACAAGGCTTTCATAACATGGGTGCATCTGCTTGCTTCGGAGGACCAATGCTTAGTATCCACTAAATAAATAAAATAAATAGCATTCTTGATTTTCTAAAGCTTATAGAGTTTGCTAGATTTTATCAAATGAATATAATAATAATTAGTGAAAGCATGTCAATAAATACCCAAGCTTTGAATATTATAGTGTGACAGAAAATGTTCTGCTTGGATCTACTTGAAGTCTTTTCAAATTCACACCACGATATCTAGTATTAGTAATAATTTACTGTCAGAAGTAATCTTTGGTCAGTGTTTTCAAAGTCTTCTTAACCATTTGATAGATTTACTGCTTGGAATTGGTATTTCCTGTACTATTGCATCTGTGAAGAAAGGTCACAGTGTGAAGGTAATTTTGTTTTTATATTAAATATATCAATGGAAGAGGCGATTAATATTATTGAAGCCTAGTTTGTTTTAATTTGTGTCTAGTTATATCATGATTGATCATGATTATCATCGGGTAATCTTATTTTCAGCCAGGGCCACAGGCTGCCCAACTACTGCTCACGAGAGAAGAAAAAATGACCTGTACAATGCTTTTATTTACGATGCATGCTCTTAGTGAATTTCAGATTACCTGTGGTAATACGTCAAGATCCTGTGCCTCATGGAACGTCACAGGATACAAAATGAGTCATAAACAAGTTTGTATCATGTGAGGCACGGCATCATCACGTAAAACCATAGAAATCCCTCATGCCTATAACTTTCACTGAACTGATTAATCCATCTACTTTTTCATACTTTTTTGTTCTTGTTGTCCATATAGCTACCACATCAAGGTCACCAGTACATAATATCAGCTGGGTTTCTTACAGCAAGTCTACTTTCTTCTGGTGTTGTAATACCATTAATGGGATTTAGAGTACCAAGATTATATGGAGTTTATCTTATATTATTATATTTRGCTTACCTAACAGTATCGATTATCGCAGCAGTTAAACACATTTAAAAATGTGACTTTTTTATTATTTTTTAAAAAGTTTTTATCCAAGCATGGCAAAATGATATCAAGACACCATTTATTTAATTTGAATTAGATTCATCTAGTAGTAGATTAAGTATAGCAAAGCTAGTTTTAATTGATTTTTATACATTTTTAGGTACATAATTAAAAGTATAGCAGAATTCATAATTAGAGTGGGTTTTGTATGACTGTGCAACGGCACGGATCACGAAACCGACACGGCACGGCACGGTCACAACCTCGCCTTCTAGGATTCCAAATAAAAATAAAGATTTAACAATACATTACCGCTACGGCACGGTACAGTCACAGCACGAAAATACCGTGTTTTTTGCACAGTCATATGAAATCTGCTCTATAACCACAAAGTAATGCATTTTCAAAAGCATCCAAAAAAAGGTATCTATAAGTGCCTTTTTATTAGATATTTCATTTAAACATTATTATATTTTCTTTTTTAAAAGTAAAGTCTTTGTTTTTTAGTATCGGTGATAGTTTCCTCCTTTCCATTGTAATCATGAAAGAAAGATATACCTCCTTCATTTGCATTAGAGCAAGGTAGTGTCCTGCTTCAGTGTAAATGCATGCCTAGCATAAAGTCATTGCAAGATGTTGTCTTACTTTGACACATAGGCATTGGGTACATTTCATGAAGGTGCAGATAACTGGGAAAATTGCCTTTTACAAAATATATCACAAAGCTGTGACGTGACCAGGCTGAATTATTTCGGGAATGTTATTTGACAAATAACTTACGTCAGCGATGAAAAAAAAAAATAAGAATAAATTTGATGTTTATGGTGAACAATAAAACTATTTGAACTTTTATTGGCTTTTGGTGAAAAACTGAATATTTTGTAAATTTGATCAAGTTTTCACTTGAAAATACACTTAGTTAAATAGTTATTTTTAGTTCTGATTGGCCAATAATTAATTAAACACACATTCCAAAAATATGTCATAGCTTTGCATTTTTCACTTAAAAAAGTAATGAGAAGCCAGGCTTCTTATTCTTACCTAGTGATTATGATTTTTTAATTTCCATATACAAAT